TTCCCACAAAAGCAGGAGGGCAGTAGTAAGTAATGACTTTCTCTCAAATTCAAGTAACATCAGGTCAACATAACCTTTGCTCTTAAGAGTTTTGTTTGCACTGTGTTGAATTGCTTTATAACTCTGTCACCCAGACTGGAGTGCAATGGCGCGATCTCGGCTCACCGCAACCTCCGCCTCCTGGGTTCAGGCAATTCTCCTGCCTCAGCCTCCTGAGTAGCTGGGATTACAGGCACGCGCCACCATGCCCAGCTAATTTTTTGTAGTTTTAGTAGAGACGGGGTTTCACCATGTTGACCAGGATGGTCTCGATCTCTTGACCTCGTGATCCACCCGCCTCGGCCTCCCAAAGTGCTGGGATTACAGGCTTGAGCCACCGCGCCCGGCCGCCAAAATTATTTTTAACGTAATTAAAAACTTTCACGTAAAACTTGAAGTGACTGATACTTTATCAGAACAAACTGCCACTTAAATACCAGCATAGGTACACAAAATGTTTATGCTATGGTTTTCTTGTCTTTCAGCCATTAGAAGTAGGCAAAAGCAATAGAAAATAACATTCTAAAAGTGGCTCCAACTACTTTAAAGACATGAGTCAGTTTCTGTCAGGTCATCTAATGGTTTCCTTACTTCACAAAGCTACTAAATACCAGAGTCAACACAGATCCCTGAGCCCGAGCTCTTCTCTGAAGGGAAAGACGGCTACAATCAGTCACAACATTGTGGAAGACATTAAAAAAAAGAAGCCGAAGTCCTGCATAATTTTCAAGACACTTATAAGTAATAACACACAACCATAAGCAGCCAAAATGCTTATGGTCCCTTTATTTCTTAACAGAGGGCTAGAATGGTTCATTTTGGCTTATACACTAATCTGGTATTAAAAGAATTTCATGTGTTCTTGAAACAAAGGCATTACTGCCACTGCTTCAAAAAAAAACCCTTTACAAAATGAAGAAAAATAACAAGTACAGGTTCCCACGCATATACATACATACAAAGGAACCTGCACACTTGCACACACAGAGGCAGATATAGGCACACAGTTCCACCAAAGCAAAATCCAAATCAGAGTTCTTACTGACTCTACCAGTCTGGAATACTCTCAAAAGTTCCCCACAACTGCCCAACACCTCACCTATCCTTTTCTGCTGCACAAAGCCATGCTCATCTTTTCAGACATATCCTCAGGCAGGGTAGAAGGGCACTATGCCACAGAGCATTCAAGGCTTTCTTAGCACGCTACCAGGCAATGAGAAAATGCGGCTTCACTAGAGCCCAGAGAAAAAGGCCAGGTTTAGTCATTAATCCAAATGCATTTTCCCGGGAAATGACCATTCCCAAACCCACAGAACAGCCTGGCTTCTCTGGTTATCCTTATAGGAAATGGGGGTGAGAGGTGGGAAAAGCTTCTTAATTTCATACAGAAACAGCACAAATATTTAATACACCTTTTGCAGCAAGATGATCTTTGTTCTCCATTAATCACATAAAGCTCACTAGGGTGGTTAACAAAACAGCATTCCCCAAGGACAGAAGTCAAGAGCTTGTAGGGCCATTTATTATATAGTAGTAGGCCATTCATTATTTCCTAGATTAACTCTTTTTTTTTTTCTTCTTGAGGTAGAGTTTCGCTCTGTCACCAGGCTGGAGTGCAGTGGTACAATCTCGGCTCACTGCAACCTCTGCCTCTCAGGTTCAAGCGATTCTCCTGCCTCAGCCTCCCGAGTAGCTGAGACTACAGATGCCCACCACTGCACCTGACTAATTTTATTATTTTTAGTAGAGACAGGGTTTCACCATGTTGGCCAGGCTGGTCTAGAACACCTGACCTCGAGTGTTCCACCCGCCTTGGCCTCCCAAAGTGCTGGGATATAGGCGTGAGCCACTGTGCCTGGCCTCGTAGATTAATTCTTAACATTTTCTGAATCAAGTAAGACCCACTGGAGCCTTTCCTGGAAAAAAGAACACAAACTTAGTCTCATACACAATTTCTGGGGGCTTGCAGACCCTCTTGAAGCCTCTCCATGAACCCCTGGAGAAGTCGCCCTGCCCGAGAGCCTGAGGGAAGACATGTGAGTGAATGCGTGTGCACTAACAGGGGTGAAGACAGACCTGGATGCTCTGCAATCCCAGACAGCAGAAAGGACCATGTCCCAAAGCTTGGTATGTGGTCCTGGGCGCCTCCCCCTTATTTTCTCTCTCTGAAGAAGCTTTCTAAGTTGTTTGGTTGTTTGAGACAGAGTATTGCTCTGTCATCCAGGCTGGAGTGCAGTGGCTCGATCTGGCTCACTGTAACCTCCGCCTCACAGGTTTAAGTGATTTTCCTGCCTTAGCCTCCTGAATAGCTGGGATTACAAGTGCCTGCCATCAAGCCCAGCTAATTTTTGTATTTTTAGTAGGGACAGGGTTTTGCCATGTTGGCCAGGCTAGTCTTGAACTCCTAGCCTCAGGTGATCTGCCTGCCTCGGCCTCCCAAAGTACTGGGATTACAGGCATGAGCCACCACACCCAGCCACTTTCTGAGTTTTGAGGATCCAGAAACAAAAGGTTGGAAAGCAACACTTCTACAAGTTTACTGATGAGTCTAGAGAAAAATCCAAAAACAAAGCCCCCTTGAGAGTTTGTGAATTTGGCTGTTCTCAGTGGCCAGGCAGAGACTCTGCTGCACTTTCTTTCCCAGTTAGCAGGGAAGTGAAGGCAAAGAAATGGTCTCAGAAACAAGTCTCTAGGAAGTCTGCTTGAGGTCTTAAAAACCATATTCAGATGCCTTATTCTAAGCCCTCTTCCCCACCATCTTGGGTGCTGCAGGGGGGTGGAAAACACCCCGTGGGTCCAGAGGAAAACTTGATGCCTGCCATCGGTTTAGGCACAGCCATACAGTGGGAGAGATGGAGGTTGGCAACTGAACAAACCAAAAGGGTTCAAGCCGACATCAGGCTTGCAGGGTCAGACACTAGAAAGGAAGATAAAGGTACACCTCCAGTTCCAACAGCCTGACAGGATCTGTAGCAAGGAGTGCCAGGTTCAACAGCAAACGTAAAGGTAGACATTAGGTCTATGCACTGCCTCACGCTGAGCTTTCTATCCACATTTATAGACATTTACTAGGAAGTGGTGTCTGTAAGGACTTGTCACTATGTGATTTGCTTTCTGAATTCCTAAAATATAGTCAGCAGAGCAGCCACTGTTTGTCAAAAATCTACCGTGTCCTTTAGCGCTTAAAGCCAGCTCTGTCCATCTATAAAGCAAAAAAACAGTGACATGCACTACACATAATTGTTAAGAAAGAAAACTATTTGCTTCCAATTTAAATACCTGGCTATTACAAATGGAGAAATTAAAACTGATCCTGAAAGTCTAGCACTTAAACAAACTTGTATTTAAAAGCCTGACTACAGGTTTAAACCATCATAAGAATATAAACAAAAAATTGCAAACTGAAATCAATAAAATATACATATGATTAGGGTCAAACTGGGTAACCAATTAGGATCTGTATCTTTAATAAACATCTGGAGAACGCTAGTAGCATAAATCATTATATGCCATGCTGTCCCAGAGGCGTATGGTTCCTTAACATCTGTCTAAATCTGTTTAAAACCTCCAGCAAGAACTTAAAGTGTCCTCTATTATCCCATAGAGCTGCCCAGACTTATGCTAGGGGTAAGCCTGGCTAGTAACCACTACACCCTTCCTTGTTTCACTGGGGAAGGGAAGAGAGTGGCGTGTGTGTGGGGCCAATGTGAAAATAGTTCAACTAATGACTTCCCAACATGGGAGGCAAAAACTTCATGAATCAATTTTGCTGTCATCTTCAGCATGTCGTTCAATATGTCCTGCAGCATCCTAGGAATGAAGGGAAAGGGGCCCATGAGAGAAGTTGGTAGGAAGACAGGAGAAAGTCAAAGCCAAGGAAAGTCACGTAAGTCCATTCCATCTAGGATCCAGGCAGGAAAGGCAGTTAGGAGCCAGCACTTTGATTACTTACAGGAAACCATGTCCTTACAGGTGAACTACTTTCTCAGCACAAGAGCACGCTAATCAATCTCCAGGTTCAGTTACTGGATTTGAAACATCCAAAAACATTCTCTTTAGGCCCTTTCTCAACAAAAACAACCTAATTCTTCATTTCAAACTTCATTAAGCTGCCCCTCAAATCTCTGAATCATAAAAAGAAAAAACTCTAGGCCTTCCCTATGTATTGCAATTCTCAATAATAAAACAAAAAAGGTTTCCTAGTCTGTACCCTGAGCAGTCTACTGAATCCCAGGTGAGCCTCAATCCCACTAATGTACCTGTTTGGATCCTTTCCTAGCAGTGAAAAAAGCATCGCAGTTCTTCCAGCGACATTTCAGAGTCTGGAAGTTCGGATTAGTATGGTCGGTCAGTAAGTGTTGTTTTAAATGATTGACAACGCCAAATATCAGAGAGCAACCATGCCACTGGAGAAAAAGAAGATGAGGGGACTCAGTGAAAAAGGGTACAGTGAATGTGAATCAGATCAGCCCTCACCTGGATCCCATAAGCACTATGAAAGCAAAACCAGCCCCTTGCCTCTTGCTTTAAATGTATTCTTGGCTAGAAAATACAACAAAGCTAAGGCAACCTTGAAAAGACTGGAAAAGTCTTTTAATACTTTGGTATTTTGAGAAGACAAAGCACTAACATAGCAATTACAACTTGTTAAATCCAGCAAATATTTATGGATAAATTACCTTAAAATTCCCTTTAAACCATATTCTTTTATGTTGCCATCATAAAATGGAGTTTCTATCTTAGTTTATTCAATACAAAAGGCAAATACCTTTCCTATAATTCTAAAAGGGTTTTTTTTTTTTTGAGATGGAGTTTCACTCTTGTTGCCCAGGCTGGAGTGCAGCAGCATGATCGCAGCTCATTGCAACCTCCACCTCCCAGGTTAAAGCAATTCTCCTGCCTCAGTCTCCCAACTAGCTGGGATTACAGGCATGTACCACCACGCCCAGCTAATTTTGTAATTTTTTTTTTTTGGGTAGAGATGGGGTTTGACCATGTTGGTCAGGCTGATCTCAAACTCGTGACCTCAAGTGATTCGCCCGCCTCAGCCTCTCAAAGTGCTGCAGCTACAGGTGTGAGCCGGCCCAAAAGTGCTGTTTTTAACAATTCTACGAGCTGTTGAATGTAAACGTGAAAATAAAAATATCTGATAAAACCACATTTGTGGAAATATTTATTGTAGAATACTGTTTGCCATGGAAGCCTGACTTTACTCACAGCCTTTATCACTTGAATCACAATCTAATGATTACCTACTTATTTTTTATTTTATTTTTTTTTTTTTTTGAGACGGAGTTTCGCTCTTGTTACCCAGGCTGGAGTGCAATGGCGCGATCTCGGCTCACTGCAACCTCCGCCTCCTGGGTTCAGGCAATTCTCCTGCCTCAGCCTCCTCAGTAGCTGGGATTACAGGCACGCGCCACCATGCCCAGCTAATTTTTTGTATTTTTAGTGGAGACGGGGTTTCACCGTGTTGACCAGGATGGTCTCGATCTCTTGACCTCGTGATCCACCCGCCTCAGCCTCCCAAAGTGCTGGGATTACAGGCTTGAGCCACCGCGCCCGGCTACCTACTTATTTTTTTAAGCTGTGATTTTACTTCTAAATGTGGCTTAATTTCATGTATTAGAAAGCATAAGCTAGTGTCATGCTTTCTAAGTGGTGGCTCAGTGGGATTACACACCTGTAATCCCAGCCCTTTTAGAGGCTGAGGTGGGTCGATCACTTCAACCCAGGGGTTCAAGACCAGCCTGGGCAACATAGTGAGACCCTGTCTCTCCAAAATAAAACAAAATATAAGAATTAGCTGGGCATAGTGGCACATGCCTGGAGTCCCAGCTGCTAGGGAGGCTGAGGTGGGAGGATTGCTTGAGCCCAGGAGGTTGAGGCTGCAGTGACTATTGTGATCACACTACTGCACTTCCACCTGAGTAACAGAACAAGATCGTATCTCAAAAAAAAACAAAAACAAAAACAAAAAAAAGAAAAACAAGAAAGCATAAAGACTCTCTCTGTCTTAGCCTTTCCCTACAGGCTTGTTGGTAAAGCCTTGTGATTCTAATTCTAACACGTTTATTTTTTTAAAGTAATGCAAAGTTAAGTGTTTCCTCTCTCAGTACTACTCCATCCCTCTGTCTATAGAGCCAGAAGTATCTTCCCCATTTCTCTGTATAGATTAACTCTACTTGTGTACTCTGGATCCTGTCTTTCAATAATGCCTCTTTATCCATGGTTTCTGGTTTCACTTTCTGAGGTTTTAGTTACATATGGTTAACCATCTTCAAAAACAATATTGGAAAATTCCCAAAATAAACAATTCTTGACTTTTAAATTGCACATTATTCTGAGCAGTATGATGAAATCTCATGCCATCTCGCCCAGATGTGAATTGTACCACTGTCCAACATATCTACGCTATATTCACTACTACCTATTAGTCACTTAGCCCTCTTGATTATCACAGCAAAAAATCAGACTATATCCCCCTCGGATATAGTGTAAAAGTTTTAAGGGTTAATCATCAGTCCTTACCCCAAAATAAAAGTTACACAATTCAGCCTGATGAACTGAAGTTTAGAACTCATACAAGATCATAAATTTTTTTATTTGCCTATTCCTCAAAAACCAATGAGGACACAAACCAAACCATTAACACTAGTAATCTCTGATGAGTGGGAGCAGTAGAAGGGGCAGTGCCATTACTAAAATCAGCACTTCCACTTTTTATTTCGTGTATTTCTGTATTGTTGTTTTCTAAGCATGTATTGATTTTATACTAAAACAAAACAACTACGTAGGAGACAACCTGTGATCTACAGTGTAAGGCATAAAGTAGATCTAAAATATAAAAATGCTACATTGATGATACTGAAGACCTATCAATTAGCCTAGGGTGAAACAACCTCTAAAAGTTCAGTGACGAGAAGAGTTTCACTCCTTACCCAACAACGGAAATTCTGCATCAGATTAAGCCTCACAGCCTGAATACTGCCATCATAACAGCCAGTGTAAATCTGGAGAAAGAAAGGTTTACAGTATCAGTCCAAAATACACACAAACTACAAAACACTCTCAAAGCACGAGTCACAAGCTCCTTGCGGCAGCTACAAGAAAACAAAAACCTAAATCAAAACCAGCTCCAGACTACTAGAATGGGAAAGTATTTTCCAGATTTAGTCTAGGCATTTTGCAGCTGTGCTCCTTAGACAGCCAGTCAGGATCAGGGCAGAGAGGAGTGGCAGGGCTAAGAAGCACCTACTTATACTTTATACTTTAACTGGGTAAGCCCTAGTTTCTATCAGGTACTCTATGTTAGGCACCTGTAATTCACTGGAAAAGAAAGCGTTCCACTCAGAGTTTGAAAAACATCCATTCTGGTTCAACTCTTGTAACTTTAAAATAAAATAAACAAGGCTTAGCAAGGTTATGTGAGTTAGTTTCTACTTTTAGATCTGCTGTAAATATGCCACACTGACCAAATCTCCTGACTCCATCTCAGTGTTCTATTCAGATCATGTCTCTGGAAAATACACCACTCAATTTATTTTATTTTATTTTATTTTATTTATTTTTAAGACGGGGTTTCACCATGTTGGTCAGTGTTGTCTTGAACTCCCGACCTCAGGTGATCCACCCGCTTACAGGCGTGAGCCACCGCACCCAGCCATTTTTTGAAGCATCTTAAATTTACCTTCTATTTAACTATAGTTGACACTACCATTTTTATTGTAATAATTTTGGCTATTAATAGAAAATGGCATATTCAACACTGTCCCCTGGTTACTTCCCTATTATGCCAACAGATGATAAGGTACTTAATATTGAGGCATATCAGAAGCAGATGTCACTTTTAGAAGTGAAAAGAATTTTTTAGTAAATACATTCAAAAGCAAGTATCTGACATGGCAACTAATACTCACCATGCTTTTATGGATGGTCATACACATAATCATGTCTTTGTGTCCTCCATAAACTTGTAGCCGATCATGAGACTTAGGCAGAAAAAAGAGAAAGAGAATTAAAGTTATGTATACCTTGCATTTGATAAGCACAGTTCCTAAAGGCCTTTGGCAGGTTTAAAAGCCATACCTGAGGTACTAAGTTGAAGCCCTTGTAGCATTATAACACAAATAGAATCTAATGACAATTTTTCTTTTACTTCCTACTACTCAAGGAGGGTGCTGGTAATCAGAAGTAATAAAATCAATTTTGTTAGAATCAGAGTTTTAAACTTGAAATTGCAGACAAGGAGAACTAGACAGGTTTATTTATTTATTTTGAGATGGAGTCTCACTCTGTCGCTAGGCTTGAGTGAACTGGCAGGATCTTGGCTCACTGCAATGTTCGCCTCCTAGGTTCAAGCGATTATCCTGCCTCAGCCTCCAGAATAGCTGAGACTACAGGTGTGCACCACCACGGGCCTAGCTAATTTTTGTATTTTTTTTTTAGTAGAGACAGGGTTTCACCATGTTGATCAGGATGGTCTCGATCTTTTGACCTCGTGATCTGCCCACCTAGGCCTCCCAAAGTGCTGGGATTACAGGCGTGAGCCACCGTGCCCAGCCGGTGGACAGGTTTTAAGAGACTGGAGCTGCTTTCCAGAAATTAAGTTTTGACACCCATGACTCAGATCAAGTATCTTAGAGCAGTTTCTGAAAGTAGTAGACCACAGGCCAGCTATTTCATAATTATCTAAAATGCTTGTGAAAATGCAGATTCCTGGGTTCCATCCCACCTAACTGTATCAAAAATCAACACTTAACCCAAATAGACAATCTCCCCAAATCATTCAAGCAAAATACTGAATCTAAATTCTACCTGTAATTCATAGACACGAACAAATTTGTCCAGGCAAGCAGTCACCATCACTTTTCCTAGGATATTCACCACAGTCACTGCATGATTGTGACCTTTATAGATCCGCACGAGCTCACCAGTCTGTGTCAGAAGAGAAGCAAGGGTCACTAGATTCACTTTCCAGATTTCTTCCTAGTTATAATTCTATGATTCTAAGAGGCATAATTCTGAGGATATTTTACACACACGTCATTGTGTTAACTTTAATAGAAATATCCCACAAGCATTTGTTACATATGCAAAATATATGAATTGTATCCTAATGGAGAGACTCTAATGTCATGAAAAGAAAATGGCCACTATTCTATCTGTATGTATTTTATGGCCTTCAAAGTACTTTTACTTTTTTCATTTCACTGGATCTAGACAAGTTCATCAGTTGGGAATATTCTGAAATTTACAGACCAGGAACTGAGCTTTAAAAAGCTGCTGCTATGACCTAACAGCAGTCTCTCAGCTGTTTCTGTTGTTCAGTTTTTTTAAGATATGGGGTCTCACAACCCAGGCACAGTGGCTCATGCCTGTTAATTCCAGCACTTTGGAAGGCTGAGGTGGGCAGATCACTTGAGCTCAAGAGTTCAAGACCAGCCTGGGCAACATGGTGAGGCTCCCCAAAAATACAAAATACAAAATAATACAAAAAAAAAAATTAGCCAGGCATTGTGGTGCACACCATTAGTACCAGCCACTTGTGGGGCTGATGTGGGAGGATCCCTTGAGCCTAGGAGGTTAAGGCTGCAGTGAGCCAAGATCGTACCACTGCACTCTAGCCTGGGTGACAAAGTGAGACCCCCACCTCAAAAAAAAAGAAAAAAAAGAAAAAAGAAAGAAATAGGATCTCACTTGGTCACCCAGACCAGAGTGCAATGATGTGATCATAGCTCACTACAGCCTTGAACTCCTGGGCCAAACAATCCTCCCACCTCAGCGTGCTGAGTAGCTGGGATTACAGAACACACTGCCATGCCCAGCTAATTAAAAAAAAATTTTTTTTTTTAAAAAGACGGGGTCACTATTTTGCCTAGGCTGGTCTCAGACTCCTGGCCTCAAGTAATGCTTCTGCCTCAGCCTTCTGAGTAGCTGGCATTACAGGTGACAGCCACTGCAGCCTGCTCTCAGCTGTTTTTACTAGTTCTATTTTAACTACATATCACATCTACTTTCTGAAAGCCTCAGCTGCTCAGTTTATTTCAAGTTTAAATGAGGCACTCAAACTAAACCTTACATAAACTTTGAGTCTGTCCATCATTAAAAACTTTGATGAAGTAGAATTTCTAGGTTGCTCAATATTACGCAAGAGCATATGCATAGGGATGATCATGAATCCCTTCAATGGATAAAGGCCTTAATTTAAATTGCAAGAGGTTTAAGAAAACCTTCCAGCTTTAACCATCATTTTATTCAAGGTTTCTTTATACAACACCAACATAACTTACGTGAATGTTGTGGGCATGGACTGACTGATCACTGGAGCCACTGAACACAAGATCATTCACCACCTGAAAGAAAAATAATCAGTAGGTCAGATTCCTGATAAGGTTCTTAATTTTCTCTATAACTTGTAATACACATGGCAAATTCTAACTACCATCTTATTTTGAGATGAGCATGATGAATGAGGTATAAAATAAAAGTTTCTCAGACAAATTTTCTCAGCTGAAACTTATACCCTCCCACCAGGCACGCTAATGAACTGATGACATATTCTTACCTCTGTTACCTTTCCAGAATGATTATGAAGCAGCCTAGAAGGGCGTTTGAGTATACCCACACTGTAACAAAATACACTCTTACTGTTTCTCAAATGAAAGTATATCACTTGGTGTTGCAATTGTAAAGAAAAGGTTAGCAATCTCCTTGCTCTTTCCAAGGTGGTATTTCTATATTATGCATGAAACAACAAGGGAAATG